ACTGCTGGGTGGGGAGCAGCGGAGGCAGGCGCAGGGGGCCAGGATGAGCGTGAGCAACACGCACCTGGCCCCGGTTCAGGCTCCTCCCTGGCTGCCTGCCACTTGGTGCACTGCTACATCCCTCGGGGGATATCTGACTGCCGGGCTGAGAGACTCTCCCTCTCCAGTGCACGAATTTCATGCACCAGGCCTCTAGTTCACTTATAAAGGTACTAGAGGCCCGGTGCATGAAATTCGTCGGGGGGGGGGGAATCCCCCCTCAGCCCAGCCTGCACCCTCTCAAATTCAGGACCCCTCGGGGGATTTCCGACTGCTGGGATTGGGCCTAAACTGGCAGTTGGACATCCCTCTCACAATCCTGGACCACTGGTTCCTAATTGCTCACATGCCTGCCTGCCTGATTGCCCCTAACTGCCCCTCCCTGCCGGCCTGGTTGCCCCAACTGTCCCCACCTGCTGGCCTGGTTGCTCCCAACTGCCTCCCCTGCCAGCCTGGTTGCCACTCACCTCCCCAACCCCCGCTGGCCTGGTCACCTCACGCAACCTGCTTGTTCAGTCATTTGGTCGTCCCTCACTAACCCCCCTGCTGGCCTGGTCATTATAAAGGTACTAGAGGCCCGGTGCATGAAATTCGTCTGGGGGGGGGGATCCCCCCTCAGCCCAGCCTGCACCCTTTCAAATTCAGGACCCCTCGGGGGATTTCCGACTGCTGGGATTGGGTCTAAACTGGCAGTTGGACATCCCCCTCACAATCCTGGACCACTGGTTCCTAATTGCTCACATGCCTGCCTGCCTGATTGCCCCTAACTGCCCCTCCCTGCCGGCCTGGTTGCCCCCACTGTCCCCACCTGCTGGCCTGGTTGCTCCCAACTGCCTCCCCTGCCAGCCTGGTTGCCACTCCCCTCCCCAACCCCCGCTGGCCCGGTCACCTCACGCAACCTGCTTGTTCAGTCATTTGGTCGTCCCTCACTAACCCCCCTGCTGGCCTGGTCATAGGCAGCCATCTTGTGAGGGTGTGAGGGTTAATTTGCATATTGCCTCTTTATTATATAGGATATGGGAGGACTTTACTAATAGACTTATATTACACATAAATTTTCGTCATGTATAGCTGCTAATCTAATAAGATTTTAGATAGTAGGTGGGTAAATTAAAACCAATTTCTTATGTACTTTCTTACACAGCATAATGGTTGTTTATATGATACAATATCATTCCTCCTCACACCCACACAAACCTCCTCCAGAACAATTTCTTTTTTGGTAGTGATGGGAGCAGTGAGGGGACAAAATAATTTAAAACTAATATTCTGTTTAATATGCAGATTGATTTTATAATAGAGATTAATCGCAGGGAATAATCTATTGTTTTGATTCTTCATTCAGGATGCTGCATGGGCTATTTGGAAAAATAATATGGGCAATAGTGGTCATTACTAAATTCATTTTTTTCTAAAAACTAGTAACTAGTCAAGAATAGCTAGGAAAAAAAGGCAGTATGTCTTACAATATAAAGACATAAGTCCTTCCAAAGTTTAAGGAAATTAGAAAATAGCTTAAGAGTTTATCACCACCAAATCAATATTACAAAAAATGTTACAGGGACCGCTTTAAGAAGAAGAAAAACAGATAAAAAATATGAATAACAAAATGGCAGTAACTACATACCTATCAATAATTACTTTAAATGTAACTGGATTAAATGCTCTAATCAGAAGACAGAGGATGGCTGAATGAAGAAAAAAAATAGTCCCATATGCTGCTTACAAGAGACCCACTTTAGATGGAAAGACACACACAGACTGAAAGTAAATGACGTAAAATATATTTTATGCAAATGAAAACAAACAAGAAACTAGGTGGCAATACTTATATCAGACAAAATGGACTTTAAAATGAAGGCTATAGTAAGAGACAAAGGACATCTATATATTTAAAAGCCTAAGTGACCGAACAACCGAATTACCGGTCTCTATGATGCACACTGACCACCAGGGGGCAGGCGCTCAACACAGGAGCTGCCCCCTGTGGTCAGTGTGCCCCCACAGCAGGAGCGCCGCTCAGCTGACTGACGGGGGCCAGATGCAGGGCTCACACAGACCGCAGCAGAGTGGCAGCGAGCCTACTGAGCGGCAGTGGCGGCAGCATCTAAAACCTAAGGTGTTTTCTTTGCCCTAAGAGCAGACACTGCATTGGTTCATAATGATAAAACTAACCAATACTGAATGAACAAATTTTCAGTTGTACAAATTCTTATTTCAAATGAACATCATTTTGTAAAGGTGATGTGGC